AGCCATTTACACCTTCCAGCAGAACCCCATGCCCCTGAACACACACATCTCAGCTGTAGCCATCAGCGTTTAATATATTGACGCCCTGAACGATTTCTCCCCCAACCAGAAAGAAAAGAAAGAATGGTGATGGGGGCACACAGATCCCCTGGCACAGGCAATGGGGTGGGGGTTGCAGCGAGTCCCTGAACTAGAGGGGGATGGAAGGGTGGCGGCACATAGGGAGCTTGTGGGTGGACTGGAGGGATGCAAGGAGTTCCTGGTCTGTGCAATGAGTTCGGTTGTGAAGTACACGAGCCCCTAGTCAGTGAAAGCTGAGCTTCTCACTAGCAGAAACCAGCATTTTAAGTAGAACCCTTCTGCCAGGCAGAGTTGGCAGGGACAAGGCCCTCCTTACGTAAGAAAAACACTAAATATTAACTAATTCATTAGAGCTGGCAACACTGTATGCAGACTCTGTCTCCTCTGCCTGCTTAGTAGAAATAACTTGTTCATCCCTGATCTTAACATGAGTTCAAGGAGAGACTAAACGTGTTTTACATGGGGAATGCAGACAGGAAGCTGGGGAAATAACCTGGGTAAACCAGAACAGAAGCCATCAGAGAGCCTTACAGGGGTAAACTCTGGGAAGGACACAGAACAGGGCCTCTCTCGAAAAGGTAGGGTGTAGTTCAAACACATGTTGTTGGGCTCAATGTCACTTATACAACAAGGAAGAACAAGCCACCGTGGAAGTCTCTGGTCTGTGTGATGCAGGAGGTCAGACTGGATGATCATAGAGGCACCTTCTGGCCTCAAACTCTCTCTCACACACACACACACACACACACGTTCACCAGTGAGTGGTTGGAATGCATCTGTTTGGATTTCCTTTTAAAGTTCCTGCTGCTTCCTGGTATTGACCATTTATCTGGCTATGGCCCTGTGCTGACCTCTCCTCTCGTCTGCATTTAGCAGCTAACATCCAAGATTTGCAAAAGGGACTGGTGTTTTTGTATGCTAAACACTTTCTAAAAATCAGGCCCCTTTTAAGGCATCTCAAAAGTTGGACCCCAAAGTCACTTTAAAAATCATGGCCTCTGTATGATTGTTTCCACACCCAGGAATAGTCATGTGTTTGTCAAGAGGTGAAGGCTGTCTCCAAAGAAATGGGGTAGGGGATGGGTTGCTGGTGGAATCAGAGACAAGTTAAAATGGCTCCATGTGAGCCCCACCAACATTAACACCAAGAAAAAAGGAACCAAGTGTTCCCCAAACACTAGTGACCAGGACCTTACACACGTTAAATCCAGGAAGCAGTAAGTGATCAGGCCCTCTTGAGACATGCTCCCCGCATGTCCCTGCCTGTTACCAGTGTGCAGCTGGCATTCCTTACTAATAATTTGTATTACAGTAGCACCTAGAGGCTCCAGCCAGGATCAGGCCCTATTGTGCCCAGCATGGCATACACACCTAGTGGGAGACAGTCCCTGCTCCCAAACAAGTCTGTCTCTTCTGTTCGGCCTGCAGACAAAGAGTGGGAGGGAAAACGGAGGCCCAGTGAGTTGCCCATGGTCACATAGGAAGTCTGTGGCACAGCCAGGAATAGGAATCAGGCTTCCCAGCCCCTGGACAATGCTGCCTTTTACCCTATACTGTATGGCTTTTTAGCCTAAGCTAATAGAGTTGGCAATGCACACATGCATATGCCAAGCACACGGCGCACAACTCCAGTGCCTCATAACAACAACGCACCACAACGGCTTTGCAAGCACATGGGCCAATAAAAAGATATTACCTCACCCACCTTGACTCTTTACAAGCACGGACATTGATTCACACTGGAAAAAAACCCAGGGTGCCGGCGTTTTCAAATGCCTGGGCTCCCTGACGCTCAGTATGGAAATACAAAGGACTAAAGCACAGTTTAGAAGACTACTGAAATATGCAAATCTCCAGCATCTCTGCTGTGAGCAGAACCATTCAATGTGTGAGTGCACGAGACATCCTGTGTACTTCTTCCCTATGTAGCATGGCCCTTGCCACTGCCCCCCTGGTCCTTGAACATGCCATCTCTTCTCTCCCCAATCACTCCATTTGAGCTACACTTGGCCCTGCAAAGTCCCTAACTGAGAGGTGCGTGTTAGGCCATATGTTAGAGAAAGGAAAAAAGTAGCAGACCATCCCAGAAGGAAAAATATGCACCTAAAACTGTAGCTAGCCAGTGTATGCATTGGGTTGGAGGGCAGGAAATTTTCTAGCTGCTTTTCAAACTTACTTTAGATACAGTGGCCATCCTGGTCCACATCAATATGTGTGCAATGCCATCTGCAGCACTCTCCCAGAATCCTCTCTCCAGCAATTTCAATCAGCCCAAAATCTTGCAGCACGCCCCGTTTTTATTCCCATTCCCCTCACTGGCTTCCTAGCCATCTGCTGCCACTTGAAAATTTCCACTCTTTCATTTCATGCTGGCACCAGAATCTCTCCAGTTCCTGCCTTCCTTTGTCACTTCCAACCTTTGTGCTCCATTCCTTCATCCACACACAGTCTCCTTACTGTGAGTCACTTCTTCTAACTCCACTTCTTTGGAGTTCCCTTCCCCTCTTCTCTTCATTTTCCTGAATCGGATCATCCTAAAGCCCTTCTCAAAACCTCTCTTCTTAATGCTTCTGCTTCCCATGAGCACATTCTTTTTCCTCTTCACATGAGCCTGATGTCCTGCTCCCCCTCCCTTCAGGGCCACCACTTGTTGACTTCTCTTTTGTATAGTATAATCCAAGTGCCTGGCCACATTGCTTCCTGAATCCATCTTTTTTGTGTGCTGCACCCAGACTGAGGGGCATGTTAGGCTTGTGGTGGTGCATTGAACCCCTGCGAGGAGCAGCATTTGGTAGACCTGTTTTTTTAAGGATTTGTATTTATCTAACCCGTTCAGAAAAGAGCTTCAGGAATGATTCCAGGTCTGGAAAACCTGCTTTACAGCGAGAAACTAGGAAGCTCAATCAAGTTAGCTTCACAAAACAAGATCAAGAGGTGACTTGATCACAGTCTACCAGCACTTACATGGGGAGAAGACTTCTGAGAGCAGAAGGGTCCTTAATCTTGCAGACCGGGCAGAACAAGAGCCAGTGAGTGGCAATAAAAGTCAGGAAAGTTCAAACAGGAAATAAGACGCAAGGGGTTGTGGGGTTTTTTTGTTTTTTCTTCAAGTAAGGGTAATTAGTCATTGGAACAAATTGCTGCGGGGATGTGGTAAATTGGATGTCTTTCTAAAAGCTATGCTACAGTACAACCATAAGTTACTGAGCAAGATGCAGGAATAATTGGGTGAAATTCTATGGCCTCTGTTATGCAAAAGGTCAGACGACTAGATGAACATAATGGCTCCTTCTGACCTTAAAGTCTATGAATCTCTTCAACTGCAACTTCGGACACAGTAGCATTGAGGCCAGATTTGTAGAAATGGGTGAACGTAGAAATTTCCATGCACAATGACAGACTGCACACAATCATTGGAAATAAACATGGAAATGGCTCGTAAAACAGATAAGCGGTAGTGTTGTAGTAAAACAGATAAGTGGCACCTGCAGTTGAGGGAATTGTGCACACAAGTCTGGGTAGATGTTTTTGATCATGTAATTGTGCTTTTTTTTTTTAATTCAGGAAGATGTAGGTCAGATGTAATGTGGTGTCCTATGTGTATGGAAAAAGGAATTCTATTAAATGGCTATGTTAAGAGGCAGTCCTGTTCTCTTCAAAAATAAAGAAGTTCTGTTAACACTGGTACTTACCTGGTAATGTGTTCTGCTTCCTCTTAGCTTCAGCAGCTCCCATGCCCTCTTTTTAAGAGCCACTGAGTAGTTTGTTTGTTTTTACAGGACACTTGACATCTTGGAGGTCATAATGTCCCTGCTCTGTGTTTGTATCAACTCCTTGTTGGAAAGGCACTCCCTGCAGCATCTGTGTCCAAACACTTTCTTAACTACACTCTTACACATTGGGCCAAGCCTGTGTGAGTGAGTAGTTTCCAACACTCAAAATCTATTGTACCAGAGCAGCCAGAGGGAGAAACGTCCTACCAGATCTTCCAGTTCCTCCCTGTGCAGGCACAATATGGAAACCACGGAGAAGATGCGCTTGATTATTAAACTAAGACGGACACTACAGAACTAATGCCAAAATGAAATCATTGCAAAACAGTGGTAGTATACAAACAAACCAAATGCAAAGCAAGATAACATTCTGAAATAGTGCAAACAAATCCATCCAAAACCAGCCAGGTAAACGTCAGTCATCAGCAGTTGGAACATGCTCCTGATCAGCAGGACTTCAGCATAGGGAGGGTTAAAGTTATTACTGAATTGGGAATGTGCACACTCCTGCCACACATGAATCAACCTAATCAGAGAAGGAAGCACAAGGCCCAGGCTGGTTTTCCTAATGCTCTGGGGGCTAGGGGGGAGATTATCTTCTCATCCCACTGAAATTAGATCAGGCCAAAAACTTCTGAGTTTTTTGGGGTTTTTTTTTTTTTTTTTTTTACAGTTGAGAACTTCAGAGTCAGTGAGGGAAAAGTGACAGTAAACTCCTGATGCTCTCACTGGATGCAGCTCTTCAGACACTCACCGCTTTGCATTTGCAAAGGACTGAGGAGGGAAAGGAACAGCACTAGCATCGGGGGAAGCATACAAAGAAATGACACAAAGTCTCAGCTCCATTCCAGTCACTTGCCCTTCTAGTTTCCGTGTGGCTATCAGATGAGATGTCTCAGTCCTAACTCCTCTCTGAGGACAGCTCTGCATCTCTCTGGCAGTGTATCCAGACTGTAGCTAAGTTACAGACAAGCTTGGGTTTGTTTTTTTAAATTTATTCTTTCAGTTCAAATATGGTTTAATGTAAAGAATATTCAAAGACCCAAACTTGCCTTCCTAGGATTAGCTCAGGCTCCCCCCTGCAAGCCCCGACAGCAGCTACACCCAGTGCCCAGAAAAGCGATCTCTGTATTGTGATCTACTTACCATGTTTCTAAACTCCTTTATCCTCTTCCTCTCACTTCCAAAAGCAGCATTTTTTCTCTCTTTCTTCCATGGTTTTCCCCCCAAGCTTTTACTCTCTTCTTATAAATACGCATAAACCACTGAACCACTTTGAGCATGGAGCTGTAATCCAAGCCCTTGCCCGCCCCACTCTGCATTTCCAACTAATCTAACTCATGACACAGCCATGGGGCTGAACTAGGGGACCCTGAAGGCTGCTGTGACAGCCAACATGCTGCGCGTTGTTTAGCAGTAACAGATGTAGTGACAAGTGCAGTAAACACTGGATTCCACGTGCAGTGCAGCTACAGGGACACTGCAAACCCAGCAATATACAAGTACCATAAGGCAGAGTCAACAAAACGTACAGACCTGCTATTCCAGAGAAGCCCTGTATAACTGATTTATACTTTCACTCAGTGGTTTCTTTGGAATCTGTCTGACCTTACTAGGAGACCTTCCCTTAATGCAAACACTCCAATTCAAAACTGAGGAAATGTACTGCTCTGTTTTTCCAGAAACAACATCTAAAGGGAGCAGTGCATGTGGGGAGCATGCCAATGTCCCCCGACAAGAGGCCTCAACCGATGCATGATTTTCAACAAAATTCACTTTCCGTTTCTGGAATTTAAAGAAAAGTGGAAGGTTTTCACCCAGAAGAGACCCCCAAAGGATTCAGAGGGGGTGCCGTGGATTTCCAATAAATGAGTAACAGGTCAAGTTAAACTATGGGAAACAACAATGGAGCCTACAGAAATAGTTTGCTGAACAACCTTTAGAAAGGAAATAGAAAAGTGGTGACTATGTCATGCAATGGCACCAAATCACATCAATATCAAGCTGGGTCTAAAGGCCTTTTTTCCCCAAGGGAGGAAGTAATTTAGCATGGCAAATTCCTCCACCCCTTCTTTAATTGTTTAAAATGGCCAGTGGCCAGAGCAGTGAGGAAGGTCACGGAACAGGCAGACAGTGGCCTACAGAAAAGACAATGGAAAAGCCAGTGGGGGTAGAAGGTGGGTGGAAATGCAGGTGCCTCAGTGCTTTCAGTGATCCAACAGCACACAGGGACCTGACAGAATTGTGGCGGAAAACACAGAGCCATAGACATGAGGACACAAAGCCTGATACTGAGAATCACTGCAAAAAACCGTGTTGCGTGGAAAGACAACAACATCCTGTGCCCCTCAGTGGTGGCGCGGGGTTTGGCGGCTCTGTTGGACGTACTGCTGGAATTTTTGTGCACCACACGAAGGAGGGCAAGTGAGCCCCTCTCTCTTTCACTAGGACACTAGATTCAGGAACATGACGCAGGAGACCACTGGGACAAAGGAACCAGAAGCCAGCTATCATCGATGGTAGAACAGAAACCAACATTGGTATCTTCCACCGCCACCTCAGACTCAACAGGGCACGGTGTGTGCTGGCAGCCTCGTTTGGGTGTTGTCCACAATTCAAAGGAAATTGTGGTTCTGTGGAGACAGGCAGCCATCACGTACTGCCACAGCAACTGGCAACGGAAACACAGACTAACTCAGCAGAGAAGAGGAGGGCGAGGGAGAACTACACAGGAGCCAGAAAAGAATAGAGTGACACTGTAAGCAACAGGAATCGCTACGAACAGCCCTCTTTCCCTTCAGAGAGAAGCCTTCCAAGGGTATCAGAGCAATGATGGCTAGAGGAATTGATGCCAAGGACTGGAGAGGAGCGAGGGGCTTCTCTTACACTCCTGAAACGGTGAGGTTTGTGACTTCCCTGAATTATAGAATGGCACAGCTGGTAAGTTGTTCAAGCACTCACTAGGCAGTTACCAGATTAGCAGTTAAACTGACTTGGTTTCAAAATCTTCTCCCTTTGGTGGAATATTGAGACCATGCCTATGTCTGTGAGGTCGGTAATCAAACTGGTGCCTCTGTCTCACTTTTAGTGGGCGTATTCCACATGGACAGCCCTGGATCCAAGAGAAAAGTCTGACCCAACTGCAGAACTCGCCTTGGATGCTTGATTATTAAGGTTAAGAGGGCAAGTAGCCAGTTAAGGAGTGGTTCCCAACATTCTCTGCCACGGCGCATATTGATACCTTTAATTATTTTGAAGCACACCACCATATTGTCTCCAAATGAACTCATGAATATTCATGAGCCAATCCAGAGCAAGGTGATCTGGCTATTGTGTCAAAATTAACATTTTCAACAGTAGAAGCTAACCTTAAAGCTCAACATAAGAACTCTGGATAAAAGTGTGCTCAGTGGAGAAAGTGACATGCACCTGAGAATATTATTTTGGGATGACAAGCAATTAATAATTAATTGTTTCTTCTCATTCCCAAAATAGTCTTCCCAAGTGGGTGTACATTTCTCCGCTGTTTTTAAATGCAATGTAATTAAGTCCCACTCAGAATTCTGCCAACCTCAAGAGATCAAAAAACAAACAAGTCAGACCCCAACAAATCAGGAGATTGACCCCCAAAACATGTGGTTATTTACAAAGAGATAATATTGTTTTTTCAGTCTGTCTAACGATTGGTGAACTGCCCTGTCCACCCTCAAACAGAGAGAGTGTGATCGTGCTGCTCATGCTCCCATATGTACAGGGTAGGAGGGTTTTGGCCCCTGCTGCAGGAGTTATGAGCCCCACATCTGCCCATCCCCTGCCTGGCAATGAATTCTGCCTCCCAACCTCCCAATCAATCCTGTGCCCCAAGGCTCCAAATCAGTTCTGCCCTCCAGCCCCCACGAGTTCCGTCCTCACCCTCCACCCGTCCAGCCCCCACCTCACCCCGGTTCTGATCAACCCCACCAGTTCTGCCCCCCCGCCAGCTTCCCCACCCAGCCCCACCAGTTCTGACCCAGCCCCACCCCCCCGTTTAGCCCCCTGCCTCACCTCTGCTTCTCCTGGGGTTCTTCCCAATCCCAACCCTGGGGGGCTGCTGTGGGGTCCCCTCTCCCCTTCCAGGCTGGGGGGGATGGCTCCTGGGGCTCTGCCCCTGCTTCCAGCCAGCAGCTGCAGGAGGGAATGGGAGGGGCAGAGGAGCTGACCCGTTGGGGGGAAGAGAGGGAGATTGAGCTCTGGTTGGTTGCTCTGCCCCTAGAGGAGGGGGTGCAGTGAGGCAGACGGCCAATCACAAGGCAGCTTTCCCCACCTTCCTTCGCCCTCCCCTACCTCCACTCTGCAGGATTCAAATTTGCAATCTTAACCTGGCTTTGGGAACGGAATGTGACACATGCATAATATCTGAAAGGGGCCTCGGCCTGGAAAGCGAAAGGACAGACTGCCATTCGGCTCCGACACTCATTAAAATACAAGGGAAGGGTTTTTCCTTCTCACGTGTCGGTTTTCAAAAAATTCCACAGCATACCAGTTGGGAAGCACTGCGTTAGGGGACATCTACACAGCATTTTGGAGGGAAGGAGTGAGCCTCCCAGCCCAGGTCAACAGATTTGGGCTAGCACGGCCCATACCAGGTCTCTAAAAAGAGCTGTATAGACAGAGCTTTCAAGTTGCAACTTGGGCTGGAGCTTGGGCTCTGCCTGCGTGGGCTTCTGAATGCTCCAAGATCTCTGGTACCCGGTACACACTCTAGTCTTACAATGTGTTTTGGGTTGTAGTTTGATTTCAAAGTCCTGGGGTTTGGATGTTACTGGAGCTCATGATTCTGATTACGTACATAGTTTGGCCAGTTTCATCAGGTTTGCCATTGGCATTGGGGAAGGCTGACGTTCTCTGCAAAACCCCAGTGAGTCTTTTCTTAGGCAGAAAATTGTATCAACAGGAAAAAATGGCACATACGTTCCTGGAGAACGTCCAGCATGCACCAAGGCACGACACGCTTCTTGTGGCTCTGGCATGCTTGTTTTGGAAACAGCCTTGTTTAGAGCAGGTTTTATTCTGGCCTATGACAGGTAGGTGGCTAATAAAATTATTTAAAAAGGGACAGCAAATGCCCTCTCCAAGAAGGCCCAAGAGGGCCTCTGCAGGATGTCATCTGTTCAACAGGGCACTATAAAAGTTGAAGGGCTCTGGCCTGTGTTATAAAGGAAGTCAAATTAGATTATCACAATGGTCCCTTCTGGCATTAAAACCTATGAATCTCTCTCCACAGATCATTAGACTGGTATCTGTCCAGTATGGACACTATCCAGCTATCTTCAGCTGCGTCTGTATACCCTCTGCTGCGTGTATATGGGGCAGCTTTTCCTTTTCAATCAGAAAAATACTCATAAAGGGAAGGTGGTGGCAGTGGAGGTGGCAACTGCTCTGGCAGATTTCCATACACATTCCTCTAGGTTTTAGAGCATCAACTTTAATTACAGGTAGGGCGGGTGAAATTTAGGCGTAGGCCAACGGGCAGGCAGTGAAATTGAATAGCTGTCCATTAACATTAGCAACAAGGAGAATCGCAAGGTTAGGGTTAGTGATACTTATCCGTGTCCACCCAAAACCAAATACAGGATGGGGACAAGAAGGGGTATCCGGGATGTGTGTGGATATTTTCTATATATTTGGGCAGAAAAGTGAGCCATCTCAAGGGGTTTATACATTTGTAGATTTTTATGGCCCAAGGGGACCTATATGATCATCCACAGGCTACAGAATTTCACTAATCAATTCCTGCCTTAGTCCTGTAACTTCTGATTCAGTTACATCAGATCTTTTAGAAAGACCACCCACACTCAACTTAAAGATTTCAAGTGACTGAGAATCCACCACAGCCCCTAGGTAACTTGGTCTAATGGTTAATTACCCTCTCTGATAAAAACGTGTACCACATTTGTAGTCTGAATTTTTCTCGCTTCAGCTTCCAGCCATTGTTTGGCTAAATTAAAGAGCCATTTCCGATCAGAAATTTTATCCCCATTTAAATACTTATAGACAGTGACCAAGTCACCTCTTAACCTTATATCTGATTAGTTAGATCAATTGAGTTTCTTAAGTCTCTCACTGTAAGGTAGGTTTTCTAGACCTCGCATCATTCTTAGAACTCTTTTCAGAACCTTTTCCAATATTTCAACATCAACAGTAACTGGACACTGTATTCCAGATACAGTCTCAGAAATGTCCTCTGCAGAGGTAATGCCACCTTCCCTATACCTAACTGATGCCACAAGACTACAGAGTACAGTTGGGGATTCCACTGAAAGAAACATTGATTGATCAAGGGT